AGACGTGTGCTCTTCCGATCTCCCCAAAACCCCAAAACCCCAAAACCCCAATGATAATTTGTTTTGTAAGATTTTTAACAATAAAAATTTAAATAAATTTATTATGGAAGGTTCTATCGGTGCAGCTGTAGTTAGCAGGAAAGTGTCTCGAGATTAAGAAAAAAAAGAGCTCACAAAAAAGTAGCTTAAAAAATTAAAAGTAGATATTAACCCCCATGAATGGACTAAACAGTTGGATCTCTTTCTATTAGACTCTGTGATTAGAAACTACTTCAATTTCGATTAGGTATCTTTGGAGCTAAATGATTAAGCTAAGAGATTACATCTATATTTTGGCGCAACACATTCATTCACCAATTAGAAATGTCGGATAAGATGGTCATATCTCCATATGAAGGTAAATTCTCACTAAAAGTTAACTCCCTATTTAGCGATTACTTGATAAGGAGATAAAGTATAAATAGCTGCCTTTCAGAATTAATGTTGAGTAAAAAGCACTCGAGGATAGAGATAAAATCTTAGATCTTAATTAAAATAAAAAGGCACATGAGTAGCTATAGGAGATAAGACTATAGCAATAAAATTTATAGTAATAAAATCTAGAGAGTCAAAGGTAAGAAGAGGAATAAAAGAGGATTGAGTAAGCAAAGAAATAAGCAGAGATAGAAAGAAGAAATCTTTGGAAGAAGCATGTTATATTTCGAGCTAGATAAAAGAAGGATGTGCTTGATATAACAAATGAAGATTTCTCAAAGAATAAGTCGTTCGCTGAAGATGGAAGAATAATAACTCCATCAAGTAAGATTTTTTCTTATTGAATTTATAAATACTAATCTAGATTTCAATATATTCAGAGACAGTTTGAGACAAGCATCAGAAAAACTAGAGAAGACATTAATTGAAAATCTTCCTGAGGCTAATCTAAGATAACTAGAGCAAGATGAAGAAAGTGAATATGAGAACGAGGATAATGATAATGAAGAAATCTTGCCTTTGGATTTCAGGACAGCTATGATTGAGTCTGAGAACAAGGTAGTCATCTAGGCCAAGCCACTCCACTTTAAGACAGATGAAGAAATCTTAAGAGAATTTGAATTAGAAGCTAGAATGAAAAAGAAGAATAAATTCCTGAATGATGATAATATGGACACTTATCTAGATTCAGTAAAGAAGGAACCATTCAAAGATGAAAACGTGATATTAATTGATCCAGAGATTAACATCAAGGAGAAGTTTGATCAGATAGATTTGTTATGCAATAAAGAAAACAGGATTAATAATACTCTGAATGCTCCCATTAAAACTCAGGAATAAATAATAAGAGAGCAGTTGCTGATGTAATAGTTAAAAGCATAATCAAAAGCACCATTGAGTAGTAAATAATATGATACTGATACTGATGGAGAGGAAGAGTTTATGAAAAAGCAAAGAAATTAAACTTCTGGTAAATATAATCAAACAGGGAATATCAGGTCTAACTCAAATGTTGATCCTAGCAAGATACTCAAATAATGGGGTGTCTCAGACTTAAATTCACTAATACCTGGTGTATCCAGTGCTAGTGAATCAGAGAGTGAACAGAAAAGAAAAAAGCCCTAACCAAAGTCTAACCCAAAGAATAAAAGTGCTATTGATAAGGATATCTCAATTCAAATATAAAAATATCCATAAGTTGATTCTTAATAGCTGGAAAAAGATTTAATAAAGTTAAATAATATTGAATTTTAGGCAGAGCTCGTTTGATTGGTTAAAGATGATTAATATTAGTTTTTTAGCTATTGCTAATTATTGATATTTTGATAAAATATTATACAATTTAAATTCAGTATTATTAGTAGAATTTGACTTTGGGGTTTTGGGGTTTTGGGGTTTTGGGG